ATCCCAAAACACTGAGTTCGAGATCTTGGAGGGTTTGCCATGTCCGAGCTGACGCTTGAGATCCTCCACTTCAAGTTCCGCAGCCTCCAATTTAAGGCTTTGTGTTTCGGGTTTAGGGGTTTTGAGTATAGATAGGTTCAAGGGTTCTCAGGTCCAGGGTTTGATGAAGCTGCTGCGGTGCAAAACTGGCGGCTGCGATCCCGTCGCAATGGACCTTTCTTATACTCGATATATGGACGCTACATTGGCTGTGTAGAGTTTTTTTCCCGGCTTGCAGGTGATCCGTTTAGGGTCATCAGGGTACAGAGAAGCTGAGAACTCTTATACTTATTAGGGGTTCACAATAATGGTACTGTAACAGCAGGTCAGTGCAGCTGGCATTCGGGGAAGTATAAGATTATTGCATACTTGGCACCATAGGGCGATAGGGGATGATGCTGCTCCTCATCTCCTTCTCTGCCACGGCAGACCCCGGCACAGAGGCATTTGGACTATAAGATTGCACTCTCCAAGCAATGATTGCTACTATGGCAAGCCTCAGATCGCCCCTGCCAACCCACGACGCCCTAAATCCCTTAAGTCCCTCAACCGTTTCGCTCCAAATCCCTTATGAAACCTGTAGGAGGCCGGGTGCTTTTTGTAAATCCACATACCAAAGCTGCATAACCGGTATAAAACCGCCCAAGGACTCCTATGATAAACAGCCCCACTAGAACCCTGATAAGCCATGAATCCCAAAGCCCCAAAAGCCCTAAACCCTCTCGGATTGCCTCGGCATAGCCAGGCCGGAGTGCGAACGCCCACCGGCACCGAAGCGGTCCAAGAAGGCATAGCCTGTGGGGTTCTGTGTATATATATATATATACATATATATATATTATACATGTATGTATCTATGCATATGTGTATGTGTATGTGTATGTGTATGTGTATGTGTATGTATGTAGGTATGTATGTAGGTATGTATGTATGTATGTGTATGTAAGTATTTATACAAAGAGATTCTTTGGGGTTCTCCAGGGTGTTCCAAAGACCTTCCTAGGGCGTTAGGGGGTTGTATGGTTTCATATTATTGCGGGGTTTCCGCACGGTCCTTTGGGGAACTTAGGACAAGCGTACCGCTTTGGATCTATATTGGAGCCTGTTCGAGGCTTTCTTGGGGTCTATACATTAACCCTATAGTAATAGTCTCCTTAGGAATTATTTTTCATTTTGCTCACATACACCCGAGAGAATATAAAAACTACTATTATATTCAAATTATGGTTCCAAGGGGTGTATAGTGCCAGTATTTACTCGAAAAGCCTCTCTAACCACCAAAGGCCCCTTAGCGCCTTAGTCAAGCTTGAAATGGACCTTTATGTCGCGTGTTTTTGATTTAGGATTTATCCGAAACTCCAATTCAACCGTATGAAAAGCTCGATGCAAGAACCCTATGTCCCAAACCTAGGATCAAATCCTTATCTTTAAGGGTCATCCAAATCTCCAACTAGATTCTTAAAAACCCAACAGAACCCCATAATACCCAATAGACCTATATCATTCCTACAAAACCCTGACCCCCTAAACCCAAACCCTAAACCCTAAACCGACCTCACTGCGAAACGAAGCCTCCGGCGCTCCCCTTGCAGGCGCTTGACAGGCGCCGCTGTCCGCTTTGCACCTTGTGGCCTTTGGGGTTTGGGGTTACAGTAGAATCCCACAAGTAGGAGACGAGCCTTAAGAGTATTGTATACGGAATCTCAACACGAATTGTCCTTCATCCGATTTCCAACTTTTTGTGGTTTACCATAGTTGGCGGTCTAGGTCCTGGTTTGGGGTTTAGGGCCTCAGGATCTAGGGTTTTGGGATTCGTCAGGATTTGGATACAATTTCGAGCTTTGCAGTTTGAGCTTTTCTGCCTAAGCGCCAGGGCTCGCAATTTTGCAGTTCAGGGCCCAGCCTCAATGATTCACGATTTTGGGGCTTCTGGGAAATACACGGGTCACAGAGGTGGAAGGATCCTGTTTTTTTCTGTGATGTGCCATATATATATATATATATATATATATATATAGGTCCTTTGTTGTCTCAAATTCCGTCGAGGGGTCTGTAAACCTATCAGGCTGCATGGCCTGTGTTTAGGGCCTCAGACTTACAGCGTCGATATGAGACTGGCTCAAATCTGCAGGCGCGAAAGTAGCAGGCATCACTCCTCCTTGGCATCATACGCATGAGTGCAGTGAACGCTTGATCGTCAGCCCCAAAACGTCCAACCTCCTATGACCGCCCGAACGCAGCTTTGGGTCTTACACCCATTCACAGGCGCGGAAGCTTACTCTCTCCTGCGACGCCTCCACCCTCCCCGGGTCCTATGGCAGGTCGGCTCGGTTCTTCAAGTCAGTCCGATGTTTTGGGTTTGGTTCAAGATTCCTGATAACGTTTCGAGCTCAGCATGTGCGAGTTGGGAGACGTATAACAATACAGCAGCAGTATAAGCAAGCTAGACTAGCAGCTTCATAGCATAATCGAGCTGGGCTTCAGCAAGCCCTTAGGGGAATTGTGCCCTCTGGGCACTGTCGCGACTTCGGGTCGGGGACATGGCTTAGAGCCGAATCGTTCGTAAGATTCTTCTTCAGAGATCCCTGATACGGTTTTTGTAACTATGCAAACTCCCCTTCAAAAGCCTATGCGACCATCTGTCCCCCCCACCCCCCGGGTTGAAGGCACCAGGTCTCCGAAGGCACCGATCGAAGCTTTGGCGAAGGTCCGTGGTCCATAGGTGGGAGTTTCCAAAAATTAGGGGTACCTTGTGTTGGGGTCCTTATAATGAGGATCCTACTTTTTTTGGGTACTATATTAGGGTCCCCTATTTTCGGAAACTCAGAGGTGTGGCTATGTAAGGGTTTGTAGGGCCAGTACAGGGGTTACTATAAAGTCTACTACGACTAGCCATTACAAAGCTTGCTACAAAGAATACTGTATTATGGGTTACTTTGAGGGATACCAGATGTTATATGATCCGCGTGCTTTAGGTGGCTTACTAATAGGTGCCGACATGCCCATGTGTTCCCAGACTGCACTTCCCGATGGATATTCCGCACTCCATACGCACGCGCACACGCACGCGCACACACACACACACAGACACACAGACACACACACACACACACACACACACACACACACACACACACACACACACACACACACACACACACCCACCCACACGCACACACCCACACCCACACCCACACCCACACACACACCACACACACACCCACACCCACACCACACCCACACACCCACACACACACACACACCACACACACACACACACACACACACACACACACACACACACACACACACACACACACACACACACACACACACACACACACACACACACACACACACACACACACACACACACACACACACACACACACACACACACACACACACACACACACACACACACACACACACACACACACACACACACACACACACGCCTTCTCCCAGAGACACGCCAGGATCGTCTGAACACCTGGGCGATTACCTGGTCACGTGAGAGGCGCCGATGGGATTGAATCATAGCCAGTCTTCTGACAGCCTTAAATTCCCCTAGCCTCAAACAAATCCGAAACCCGAACCCAAAGCCCTCGAATAAAGGGCATTCAGTGATCTGTAGAACTCCACTTCAGGATCTGGAAAAATGCAGTCTTCGTTCTCTGGCTTGTGTTGCACAGTGAGGAGGAACTTTAGATGGGGATTATCACTGGACCCTACGCGCTCGTTGGGTTCATGGCTCAGCGATACATTTCGTGTCGAACTGCAAGTGCAGGCGAACGGGCAGCGAGCCTTTGGCAATGAGAGGAATTCGCGACAGTGCAAGGTTATACTCAAAAAGGCATCTTGCACGCCTACAGGGCCAAGACCGAAGGATTCACTTCGCCTTGGCATCAGAGATTTGCTCTTTCGGATCTATGAAGGGTTCCTTGCGGGGTTGCTAGTTTTTTCAGACCGGGCCGGCTTGGATCATTTAAGCAGGAAGTGTTCGCCGAGGTTTCTCGCAATCTTGGATCCTTGCTGCCCTACTCAACCAGGACATCACCATGACATGTTAGGTCAAAACATAGCCGTGCCGTAGGCAGGACAACAACGACTGATACAATGAATACAGGACATGGCATGCCGGCGATCCAAGAAAGCACCGCCACCACCACTGCCTCCACCAGCAGCAAGAGCACCGGCAGCAACCCAGAGCGTCAATATCAAAAATCAGGAACTACACGTGCTTTAATTGCGGAAATCGTGCCTACAGTTGACTGCAGCTACTCGCCCAGGATCATGGAACTTAGTAAGTCGTCATATGTTGATGATCGTGAGTGCCTCGGTCATCTTAGTTGTGCTGAATCCTTATTTACAACGTGCGTACCAAGTCCGCTGAAGTGAGAGTTGCAGGAACAAGCCGACACCCTGAGCAAAGCAGTCAGTAATGGCCCTCAAAAGTGGAGATTCAAGTATCCCTGAATTGGAAAGATCCTTATGTTTATGTGGGTGGTCTATTGTGGGCCGTTTTGTTTGAAAGCAACTGAACACAAGCCTTCTGCTCAAAACGTGGCCTACGACATTATGCCCGACAGCCTGCAAACGCTGAAGCATGAACCTCTCAAACCCTGAACCTTGAAGCTTTAACTGTTGGAAACTCATGAAAACAACCCTAACTAACACTTGCAAGCCCAGAACCCCAAAGCTCCGACCCACTTGTAGAAACCCTGAAGGAAGCCCTAAAAAGCCTAAAGTCCTGAACCTTCGGCCCGGAAGCCTCAACCCTCAACACTAACCCTATCCTAAACCCTAAACCCCTATAGACCCTAAACCCCAACCCCAAAACCCTAAAAGAAAAAGTAAACACTAACCCCCAAACCCCTAAACCCACCCTAAACACTAACCCGATCTAGCCCCGAAACCCCCGCGGTGCTTGCCTTGGATCTCCCCGGGGGTCCGGTGCCATGTCGGCGCGCGACATGGCCGGTCAGGCGGCCTTGAGTTATGAAAACCTGAAGCATTTTAGGGCTGTTCCGGTTTATGAAGAGCTTACCGTCCAGCTTTATAAGGGTTATGTAAGGGTGGTATTCTGTTTCTTGCGATTGTCAAGTTGTTTCTTTTGGGGTTGTGGCTTTATTCAGGGCTTCATAGGGCCAGTTTTCTCGACGAGTGTGTGATCTTTGATGTACAATATGGGGGATTGAATAACTAGCATGGTAATCACTGCAGTAGTACCCTGCAGGGTTCTTTTGTTCATTCATAAATTGTGCAGCCCCTCTATATACTACCCTTAAAGGAACCCGCACGCCAGACACCTTCCACGGACAACCCTAATCAAAGAAGGTACATCTATACTACGATCACGGAACTAGGTCCAACGAGGATTTGTTTCGGTGTCTAGCTGCATCATGGGAGTATGACTGAACCCGCCGGATAAGCTGAGAGACCTTGCTGGATACACAGTGACACAGGGTTTAGGGTTTTGGGCTGCAGGAGTTTCGGGTGTAGAATTTTGGCAGTTAAGTCTAAGGTTTATAGAGTTTACGCACAGCTTTTTGCAAAAACTCTTTCTACGACTTGGGACGGTCTGGACACCGGGAAGAGAACAACAGACAGTTAACTCGAACAGAACCGCTATTATAGTCCTGGGAGCATCTGCATCTACCACTATGTTCGAAGAACCACTGCGAGACTTGAATGCTGCTTGGACCCAGACCCTCACCCAAAAGATAGGTGTAGCAGTTTGCCCTAATCCTTGTAGCTGGGAAACCCCCAGTCTTACCCCAACAGTTTACATGCAGGAGCATGCGAAGACAAGTATAAGAAAAGCCGAAAACTCAAGACTCCCAATTTTCATCAAGCCACCGAACCCTCTTTTACCCCTTCTTCGCAACCGCAAGGAAAGCCTCGTCAAAGAGGTCGCTGCGCTTCAAGAGGCAACGAACTTCGTATAAGGGCCGTAAGAGCTAGATCAGGTTTCCTTGAAAGAGGTTCCCAGAAGGGTTTTTGTGAGATTTGTAGAATAGCGATTCAGGGGGGGAGATATATTTAGATTGCAGTTATACCGAGGAGCCGGGAGGAATCGCAGTTGTAACGAGCTATTGCGGCTTCTACGTCATCAGGCTGTTAAACAGCTGCAGGCTTCCTTACACCTAAACCCATGTTAACTCCTTAAGAGGCACTGTCCGGCTATCCCGTTTGTTCGCACCGACCGTAAAGCTAACTCTAAACTACCTAAGCCCAAAATCCGTAAACCCTAAAATCCTTCACCCCTAGTCCCTAAACCTCAAACAGGAAAATCTTAAGTCCCGTAGCCGCCTTGCGAGGAGCTCGCAGCCCTCTCCGAGCTGTTGCAACCCGGACTTGAATTGGCTGCTATGATTTTTGGGTTTAGGGCTAATCCTAAGCCTCAAACCTTAAATCCTAAACCCCCAATGTGCTACAACCCTAAACGCGCACACTCCGGATATATCACAGAGTGAGTCGCAGGGGCTGAGCTTGGTTGCAAACTTGGGCTGGCACAGGTTTCACGATTTTTTACTTCATTTCTTGGAATTCTAGAAGAACAGGAATCCTTGCTTCCTCGGAGTACCAGTTCGTATGCCTGCCTTTGCAAGCGCAGTGAATACACACTTATAAAAACTTACACACAAACCTCCACACGAACGCACATATGTAAGTACGTAGCCGGTGCTGCAGTGTAGCCGGTCCGTTACCCAGAGGCTCCATAGTAGTTCCTTTTTAGGGTCCATATTTAGAATCCTATAAGGTAATCCTGAAAAGGAACTACTATGGAGCCTTAGGGTAAGGCGACTATCAGATGCCAGGTTCTGCAGTGGCATTCTTTGCGAAGGCGAGGCATTGCACGAGAAGGGTGGAGTTCGGCTCATAACCCCAAGCGCCAAACTTGAATCGGAGTTGATGTCGTTCAAGACTTTGTGTTTCAAAGGTGGTAGCAGGCAATCTTGTCACAATTAAGCCCACCCTTCAGCAAAACCGTATGGAGAGTTGGTTCAATGCGCTCTAGCTGTGGGGTTGAGGCATGTTGTGTTCAGGGTTTTCCGGTTTAGCGTGTATACGGCTTATGGTTTGGAGCTTAGCTTATTGGCTTGCAGGGTCTGGAGTAAATTGCCCGCTACCACGTCTTTTTTCGGAGGCCGCTTTCGGGCGCAGCTGCATCGACGGCGCTTCCGCCGGGTGCTGGCGCGCTTTCCGTTGGAGGCCCTGTAACGTGCCCATACAAGTGCCTCAAATAGACGCATCCAGCTTGGGTTCAGCCTGGACCAAGCATCCAAGCACTACAAAAGTCGACCAAAGCGTATGAGGCACCCCTCTCACTGGTTGGCAACCTGGACACAATCCCCCCAAAGCCTAAACCCAAACCCCAGTCACTGCATAAGCCCATGCACTTCTCAAGACGTCGCAACAGGCCGAGGGAGATTTGGTGAACTTGCAGATCGCCATGAACTCTCGGGACACGCGGGCGGGGGGCGGCAGAGAGGAACAAGTAGAAGTGAGAAGAAGTAATCAATGGAATTCTTTGAACTCACTAGTGTTCCCGAGTATGACTGTACCATCATATACCCACCGAAAACCTCTTGAAAGCTCTGACTACAGCTTGAAACTACCAGTGAACAAAGCCTACAAAGTCCCATAAACCCTATTTCCCACCAGGACCGAATAAGTGCTCTGAAACTCGTTTGCTTAACCGTTGTTGTCAAAACCACCGAGACCATACACAAATATATGTATGTATGCATGTATGTATGTAGGTATGTATGTATGTATGTAGATAATATAACATCATATATATATACACACACACATGACATATGCATGTACAGATGTGTGTAGATATGTATATATATATATATATATATGTATGAATATTTCATTTATAGATACACAGGGTGCAGGGTTGAGGGGGCCTGCGCTCGCCTGAATCCTACCTTGAGGACATCGCAGCCTCCGTCTTCGCCTTTGTGGGCTTTCCGGTCTCTGGCTCAGCCTTGTTCGCATCCTCACAGAGGGTCCAAGTTAGGGTGTAGGGGTTTAGTGTTTAGGGCTAAGGATCTATGGTTAGTAAGGGGTTAGGGTTTAGTGTGTTTGTGTATACTTTCGGACCCCAAATACCTATTTGAGTACCGTAATTCATGGTAATTGGACCCTTTGGGCCTGTGGGGCTTTGCTTCAAGCCAGAAACGCAAGATCCGGCCCAAAGGGGTCCTACGCCCTAATTACGCAACTAAGCTCCGGATCCGTGGGCCTTCAGCAGCACACTCAGCCGAGGTCTCGCAGAATCCTAAACCATAACCCTTGGAACATGACCCCAAAGCCGAAAACCTTATACCCTAAAACCCCAAACCCTAAAACCTGAGCCCTAATACTTCAACGCCTTTGAAACCTTAGCCCCGACGTCCCAGAAGCCCTTACGAAAACAGCCAACCCTCGAATCCCAACAGACAGCGAAGCAGTTTCTCGAAGACTAAACCTTGAACCGTCAAACTACATGGACCGAAGTCCTAAACTGGAAAATCGTCCTGACATCACCTACTCTCAAGCATGAAAACCAAGAACGTAATCCACTGAGCGAGTATTCTTCAACACCACAGGCACGGAGTTTAATACACTTCTAGGACCCTTGCTGAACAGCACAGAGCCTTTTCACCACCGTTCCAGAACCCAGATACAGCCGCTGTACAACCCTTTCACAGCTTCTTTCAGAGCTCTTACTAAAACCCTGATAAACCATGTACAGGACCCAGTGGAAAACCCTACTAAGCCCTCAAAGGAACAAGCCTCCGCAAAAGACCAAAACCTAGAGAGCCCAATACCCCGTAAATAAGGAATAGGCTTAAATTATAAAAGGCTTCATATTCAGATTTAAGCTATATTCCTTAATTAAGGGGTATGGGACTCTCCGGGAACCCCTGAGCCGACCCAAGGTCTCGGGCTTCCGCGCGGGATCCAAGGCGCTGAGCAAGAGCGCCACGCCAGCAGAGCTCAAGGCAAGGATTGAGGGTTTACGGGGGGTTTAGGCTTTGGGGTTTAGGGTAAGGACTTAAAATTGAGGGTTTAGGGTGGGTTTAGGGTTTTATAGGGGTTAGGGCAAGGATTGAGGGTTTACGGGGGGTTTAGGCTTTGGGGTTTAGGGTAAGGATTTAAGATTGAGGGTTTAGGGGGGGTTTAGGCTTTGGGGTTTAGGGTAAGGATTTAAGATTGAGGGTTTAGGGGGGGTTTAGGCTTTAGGGATTAGGGTAAGGATTCACGGTTTATGGTTGGTTTAGGCTTTGGGGTTTAGAGTAAGGATTGAGGGTTTATTGGGGGTTTATGCTTTGGGGTTTAGGGTAAGGGTTTCGGGTTCATCGAGGGTTTCGGCTTTAGGGTTTAGGGTAAGGAATTAAAATTTAGGGTTTATGGGGGTTTAGGCTTATGATAGGGTTTAGGGTAAGGATTGAGGGTTTATGGGGGTTTAGGCTTATAGGGTTTAGGGTACGGATTGGGTGTATGGGGGGTTTAGGCTTTAGGGTTTAGGGTAAGGATTGAGGGTTTGTGGGGGGTTCAGGGCTCAGGGTAAGGATTGAGGGTTTGGGGGTTTAGGGGTTTGGGTGTTGGCCTTTGGTGTTTGGATGTTTTGTTATCAGCCCTGGTCGTTCCGGGTTTCTGCTTGCGGTTGTAGTGACGTGCTTCATCTTCGGGGTTTGTAAGGTGTAAGGAGGCTTGTTGTTGAGGTCTGAGGATTCGGAATTAGGGATCCAGTTGGGTCTACGAGTCTAGGGTTTTGAGATGAGTGTTTTGACTCCAGGGTCAAAAGGAAAGGATAATTTCAGTAATGATAAGGCGAATGCCTCCTGCTTCTGCTCCTCTTCCTCCGTCTCCTCTCCTTAATTCTACTTACTTCGACCTACGACCGTTTCTTGCTTGCTCCCTGACTTGCCTACGTACGTACCTGCCCGCCTAACTACCGCTAGCAGCATTAACAATCGCACTAGCGCTAACACTACTACCACGACAACGACCGCGACCACGACCACCAGCGCCAATACGACGACGACTACTACTACTGCCACTCCACCACGGCGGCTGCAGCAACAACGACGACTGCTACTCTTGCTGCCACTGCCACTGCCGCCGCTACCGCTGCCGCTTCTGCTCGTGCTGCTGCTGCTACAGCTACTGGTGCGGCTGCTGCTACTACTGTTAACGTTCCTGATACTGTTACTGCTACTGCTACTGGTGCGGCTGCTGCTGCTACTGTTACATTTACTGTTACTGCGAATGCTACTGCGACTGCGACTGCTACTGCTACTGTTGCTGTTACAGTGCATCTGCTGGATAAGAAATGCCAGCTGGCAGCGTTGGGTACCCTTCATTTCTTAGCTTCCTCTTACATTCACATTCCGGCATTTGCCAGCCTATTTCTTCCGCATTTCTTAGCCGGGGCCCGAGCCCATGGTAGTTAAGCTGCTCTCTATAAAGCCATGGCCTTAGCCATTAGCCTACACAGACACCACTGCCTTATTTTGGCCTCTGCCCATGCCCTAGGGCTAGGACATGGAAACCACCCAAAATAGGAAACGTAGCCCCCTACATTTCTTATTTTGGCCTCTGCCCCATGCCCTAGGGCTAGGACCTGGAAACCACCCAAAACAAGAAACGTAGCCCCCTACATTTCTTATTTCAGTGGTTTTTCGAGGTTTGAGAACGCCCGAATCAAGAAACGAACCACCCAACCAAATAAGAAATGAACCGAAAACGTTGGGTACCCTTCATTTCTTAGCTAGAAGGCGTTTTGAATTTTGGGTTTGTTGGTGTTACCCGGTGGACGTAGCCCCTACGTTTCTTATCCAACCATCACTTGTACAGTGATTGCACTGTAGTAGTAGTAGTACTACTACTACTACTACTACTACTACTACTACTACTACTACTACTACTACTACTCCTACTCTACTACTCTACTCCTCTACTACTACTGCTACTACTACTACTACTACTACTACTACTACTACTACTACTACTACTACTACTACTACTACTACGCTACTGCTACTGCTACTGCTACTGCTACTGCTACTGCTACTGCTACTGCTACTGCTACTGCTACTGCTACTGCTACTGCTACTGCTCCTGCTGCTGCTGCTGCTGCTGCTACTGCTGCTGCTGCTACTGCTATTGCTATTGCTATTGCTATTGCTACTGCTACTGCTGCTGCTGCTGCTGCTGCTGCTGCTGCTACTGCTTCTGCTACTGCTACTGCGATTGCTACTGCTACTGCTACTGCTACTGCTACTGCTACGACGACGACGGGCTTCGGTTCGTGTTCAGTATTTGTAAACTGTATGCTGGGATGGCTTCAGTAAATTCCGTTTGTGGTGTTGCTGTCATGCAGGCTCTGCGGCTCTGTAGCATTGTTGACACATGTTGCAAATAAGTCACATACATATTCACACATGCTTACACACATTCATACATTCATACATAGATAAGCAAATGCACTTGTCATTGGGTGGGTTTTGTTGTTGTTGTTGTTGCTGCAATGTGGGCTTTTTCCATTTGAGGAGTTTCCCCAATATTCACGACGCGCGCCATCCCTTCGGATGTCTCAACTGATCAGTCTAGACCCGAGGCTGCCAAACCCGAAAATTACCACACCTTATATCCTACTTTCAAATCGTTCCTAACCCCTAAAGCCCTATAAACCACTAAACCCCTGAACTCCTAGACCCCTCGACCCTAATCCCTAAGTCAGAGTCATTTGCACCTTAATAAAATCAGAATCATAACTCGCCTCGAGGCTTCCTCCGTCGGCCGCCTGTTTGTGGTCGGCGGGGAGAGCAATGGGCCAGGGCCTCTGTGGCAAGTTTCCTAACCCTGAGGGCCCATGTACCCAAATAGGGTTCCTTTAAGGGTACCATTAGGGTTCCTTTAAAGGGATCTATAAGGGATCCATAAGGGTTTAGGGTATAAGCGTCCATGTACCCAAATACTTTCGGCCCGATGTACCTATGTAGGGAGTACTTCAAGGCCTAAGTATACACTATTTGGGTACATGGAATCATAGGGCAAGGTCAGGAACTGATTTCGCCGGATGGGCTTTTGAGGGACTGTGTCCGGAATTTTCGTGTTTAGGGCCTGGGGTGTTGGATTGGCTGTATAGGGTCTTGACTTAATAACAGCCTCGAACGACATCTTGGGGAATAGGGCTCGCGTTTCGAATCCGTGCAACAGCAGATCGCCCAAGTCAAACACATTCCGTGAAGAAGCTTAACGAATCGCAACTGCAACACCAAGCGAGAATTCTGAGCCCCAAAACCCTGAAGAGAAACTATAGATCCGATAAACCGCGCCTCCGACCCAAAGTGTATGGTTTACGTGTGTAGGGTTGTACAGTACGGCTTTCTGGCACAGGCTCAGGGACGTCCGTGGAAGGCAGCAGTGGTAGTCACATTCGCGCGGAGACTCGGAATGGTTTCACAGACAAGGCAGTATTTGGCGTCGGCGGAAGTCTTCAATCCTGACTTGGACCGGTGGGAGGCCTGATAGGGAGGACCCTTTTAACAGGACCTTTTGAAAGAACCCTTATAGAACCTTCGTTAGAGCTCATGCTAACCATGGGATCCGTACGGCTCGGGGTTTGGGGGTTGGGGGTGATGTCTGCAGGTAATTTTGAAGCATTGAGATCTGCAACCTAGCAAGCTGTTTTCGGGTAGAGGATTTTGCATGGAGGAGTTTCCTGACTCCTACAGCCTGAGGCCTTTACAGCTCTAGGTAACTAGCTACCCCGCTGGATTTGCATCTGGAGGAAAGGACTTCAGCAACACAAACTCACATCTGTGTTTTTCAAAGGATGGGAATCCTCAGCAAAATCTTTTCCCAAATTTGTCAACCCCCAAACCCTCCAAGCATGCACCCTAAAAGCCATGCACCCTCAGCATCTCTCACCCGTCTTCACATACTGCGACATGCTTTACTTCAAGGTATAGGAGTTAAGAAATATCGACCCCTAAGCACCTAGTAGTGGTGTAGTAAAGCATAGCTTCTAGGCCTTACGCCGTAGGCTCAGAGAGTGTTCGTTTCACACTGAATTCTACAATGTATTTGGCTCAAGACATGACTAGAAAAAGAGCGTCTATTGCACTTCTCTGCGGTAGGCCTCGTGTGGGTTGTGTCTTGTTCTGTTTAACTGGTTATCAGCCGTAGGTAGTGAGACCTACCGCAGTGCCTTAAGTAAGCCCAGCGCCCAGTAGCCCAAAAGGGGCAGCTAAGGCAGAGGGGCTTAGTATTCCGAGCGCGCCCGGTGGAGGGGCAGCCTCGGTGCATGGCCGGACAGCCGCGTGGCGACAGAGGCGGTGAACGTAGAAGAAGGCAGGTGTTTTACACACACCAAGATTACGCTATAGATCAAGCTAATCGGCTTTTTGGGTTTACGTTGCCGCGTGAGGATTTTCGCGTGTTGGAGGGTGGCGGCCATCAGCGCCACTTGGACGGCATCCGCGATATCTACGACAGCTACGCTGCGGATTGGAACCGTCTCTGCCAGGTGCTCCCAGCCCTTGCGGCCGTCGTGCCGGTCAGCAAGGGCGGGGCCAAAGGCGCAGGAAAGGGAAAAGGCAAAGGCAAGGAGGCTAAAGGCAAGGGCAAGGGGCAGCAACAAGCGCCCGCAGACCCGGCTACCCCGAACGTAGCCAACCCGAAGGCAAAGCCACAGCCGACTTCGCCAGCAACACCTGCGTCTGGGTCAAGGGACACCGCTGGGACCCCGGCTCGCATCGAGGCGACCCCGCTCACTGGAGCCGGCGGAGCAGCATCTTCAACTGGAGTTGGGCCGGCGGTGGCCGCGCCCAAGGTTGAAGGGGCCGCGCCACCGGCGGCAGCAGCAAAGGCCGAAGGAGCGGCACCAGCAGCAGGAGAGGCAGCGACTACAGAAGAAGCGCCTGCATCTCGAGAGGCCGCCGCACCCGAGGCCACAGCTGAAGAAGAAGCCGCTGAGCCGGTTACTGCGTCGGACGTGCTGCCAAAGGAGGAGCCACAGCTGGGAGGCGACGACGACCAAGGGCCAGTCACCGACGCCCACGACCAAGGCGACCCAGGATCCGAGGAGCCTGTGGTTGCCGAGGTCGCGGGTGTTAAGGAGGAAGCGCCCGACGACACTGACGCAGGGGCCGCTGAGGACCTTGAAGTCAGTGGCGTCGCCCACGCTGAGGGAGAAGAGGAGGAGCCGGTGGTTGAGGAGTGTGAAGTGGACGAGCCTGTACATAGTTCGCCGCCAGCGCTAGTTGTACATAGCCCTGCTTCACCTAACCTTTCCGAGCGTGCTTTCTCTGAGCCACCCGAGCGCCCAGTGCCTGAGGGGCGGCTACGAGTAAGGCCTAGGATTTTAAAGCCACCGACTAACCTCCCTCCTGGTAGCTACCCAACGGTAAGAGTAGATCGCCAAGGCATCTGGATACTGGTAAGCCCCGCCCAAGCACCTGAAATAGGCACTAGGGACGCAGAGGTGCTCCCGGACGCCGCGCCCGAAAGCACAACCGCAGGGGCTGCAACTGAGGAGGTCGATCCCTACGATCTTCCTCAGGCTGTCTGGGCTGACCTTGCCCTAGCTTATTCCAGAAGGCCCGCCTCTCTTGACCTTGCAACAGCTCCTGTGGTGAGCGACCGCCAGGGCGAGAGGACAGCAGAAGGGTTTAGTCTAGGAGTGGGTGCTTTTAGGCCGGGTGAGGTTATAGAAGCTAGGCCGTCCAGCCCGGCTCGGTCAAGGAGCCCGCGGCAGCCCGCAACAGGGGCAGCCCCGAGTGCGCCCAGCCGCGTTAGGACAGTGCCGGCGCCACCGGCTGCAGCAGCAACCCCGGCGCCACCGCCGACAGCTTCTACGATCTCTCCTCCTGCCGTGCCACCACCACCTGCAGTACCGTCGCCACCGCCAACGGAGGCGCCCACAGCTGATCCTAAGGGGCCGCCGGCAATTCCTTCGAAGGCCGCGCCGTCTCCACCGCCACAGTGGGCGATTGACGCAGCAAGGAGGCGAGAGGCAGAGGCAAAGGCACAGGCAGAGGCCAAGGCAACAACAGCAGGGGAGCCAGCGAGCGGCAGCACCGAACCGCGTTCGCACCCTGATCAGGGCGCCCACGCCATTGGGGCAGCCGATCGCTCGCGTAGTCCCACGGTAGTTAAGCCTAGGGTTAAAGCCCCGCCGCCACTACCCGAGGTACCCAAGCAGTTGCCTTTTAAAGCTGCCCCAACCGAAAGGCTCCAACAACGACAGCTAAGGGAGCAGCAAGCCCAGGCCAGAGCCAGGCTAGAAGAAGCCGCCGCGCAGCGCAGAAGGGAAGAGGCTGCAGCAAAGGCTCCAGTGGCACCTGCGCCCAGGCAAGTGGGGCTGCGCCCAACGATCTCGATCGTTTGGGATTGGCACAAGGTGCTTGACCTCGGCTTGGACCGGGGCAACTGGAGCCCGCGGGTTGTGAGAGCCATCGGTGATCTGTGGTCCACCCACAGACCATTGGTGTTCCACGTGCTCTCCTTCACCGGACGCGGGCAGGCGGCAGCACACCGGTCTGAAGCCCTAGCGGCACTTCCCAGCCTTGAGCGGGAAGCCGGTGTCACCTTTTCGTCCTACAACCAGTGCTTTGAACGCACGGGGTCGGGCGGAAAGGCCGAGTTGTTGCACTCCTTGGGCCCGGTACAGGGGCAGCAGCCAGGCGCCCACTACCTTGTGGACGATAACCGCGACATCGTCAAGGAGTCGCGGCGAACGGGCTGCAAGTGCGTCCAGGTCGTGAAGCCGGCGGATCGGAGGTTCTTTGTTGAACAAGACCTCCTCGACGCGATCCAGCAGCTCAGCGAGTCGCTCCACTCCTTGGGAGAAGAGCGCACCGGAGCGACTGGAGCAACAAGGCTGGCACAAAGCCAGTACTTGGAGGTTATCCACCGCTAAGGTTCTAAGGGGTGAGGGGCAGCTCTAAGCGCCCATAGGTTCTACGGTTTAGGCCCGAACCCGTGTGCACGGCATCCTGCCTCACCTCCCCCTTAAGTAACCGGTGGAACCCGCGTCGTCCCCGGCAAGCCGTCGCCCAACTCACCAACAAGGGGCAGACCGGCAGACCACAAAGCCGCCCGCAACCGGCCGTCGCCCAACTTACCAAAAAGGGGCAGACTGGCACGGCCCGCAACAACAGCCACAGCGACCACCCAACAGCCAGAGGCCAAAGGCAGGGGGGCAGCACAAGGCGCCCGCAGGTCGAAGGTCCAGGCCCGACCGCGTGCACGGCAAACGCCGCACCCCAGACCTTTAAGCCCTAAGGTTGTTAAGGTAGGTCCCGGTTTTCCTTAGGCACCGCAAGGTTCGCAAGGAACAGGTCCAGGCGCAGGTGCAGGGGGGCAGCCCACGGCGCCCGAAGGCAACGTCCAGCAGCCGCCTCGCACCCTAAAACCCTAAGGCCTGTAATCCCCGAGTTTCTTTTGCAAGTGCCGCCGAAGCGCGTGCACCAGAGTTCTTTTCGCACCGGAAGGGGGCAGCCAAAGGCGCCCGAACATAGAGCTAATAGCCTAAGCTAGGGTTATAACTCTTCGGTTGCATCCTTCCCGCGTGCTGTATCGTACTTAATTTGCATTGCTTTGCGCATTTTGCGCCACATCGTTTCGCAGCCAGCCAAAAAGAAGGGTCTGAGCCGCAGCGGTTACATAGGGTTTAGGATGGCAGGCATAACCCCACCGTCCGATGAAAGGTCTAGGTCAAGTAGGCTAGGGGACTCTTCCTTTTCGGAACCCGACCTCGCACCTCCACCTGACCTTCCCGTTGTTCCCGCAGCAGCAACCATAGTTCAGGGACAAAGGCCACCAGGTACCAGAGCCCCGCTGATCACCATTAGCGCCGGTAGGGGTAGGCGACAAGACTCATCATCCTCGCCCTCACCCCGTGGAACCCAGAGGCCTCCCGAACTTACTGCTACTCAGGCTACCTTTCTCGCGGGCGCCGCAGTCACGCACGCACACCAGAGCGCGCAAGTAGCACTGCACGCCGCGAACACCGCACAGGCTCAAGCTGCAAGCTCACAGGCTCAAGCCCAGCAGGTCGCACAACAGGCCGGCGAATGGGCTCAAGGTGTCAGACAGGAGGCTCGAAGCGTAGTGGACCACACCCGTGCTCAGGCGCAGGCCGTGGTAACCCAAGCGAGGGTCGAGGCTCAGACCACCGTGGACCAAACCCGTGCTCAGGCACAGGCTGAGGTAACCCAGGTCAGGGCTGAGGCCGCACAGGCAGTTCTTCACACCCGCGCCGCGGCACAGGAAGAGGTCTTAGCAGCACAGCGCACCGCGTTGGAACGCATAGCCCTTCTAGAGCAGCAGCTCGCACAGTCGCAACGTGAAAGGGAGGAGAGCAACCGCAGGGTTGAGCAGCTGATCGCGGAACGCCGGCTCACAGATGACTATTGGGCTCGGCGAGAAGCTGAACTTAACACGCAGCTAGACGTAGTTGCGCCAGCGGTGACTCCGAAAGCAACCTCGCGAACGCATTGGCCCCCAATGTCTTTCTC